AATCCCAACATTCAGGAGATAGAGGCAGGGGGATTGTCATGAGTTAGAGGCCAGGTTACTTTTCTATTGTACAAATATTTTATTCAGTTTCTATACAAAGCATGTGTGTAGGAATCAATCCTGACTCCAAATAGGCTGCTTTAAGGAGTGAGACGGGTTAGGTAGGATTGCTGTCTATATAGAAAATGATAGGTGAGGTGTATCTGTTGCTGTGTGTGTGTGTGTGTGTGTGTGTGTATGTGTGTGTGTGTGTGTGTGTGTGTGTGTTACTGAGATGTCGTTAGTCCCTCTGACCTTCTCAAGGACATCAGCCCCTTCTCAACTCACACCTCAGTTTTTCCACTCAATTCTTGGCTGCTCTTCCAGTCCTCAATCCAGTCTTTCCTGTTCCCAGCAATCTTTTACCACTCCACACCAGTCCTCTCAAGGGGGCATTTTCATCCTTGCTCACCCACTGAAAACTGCAGTGCGTCCCCATTGTGTATCTCACATTACCATCAGCTATCAAGAAGTTAACAGTGATGACTTCATCTGCTGTCCAGTTCCCAGCGCTTCCACGAACAGGATCCCAGCTCAGTACTTGCCAACCCTCTTGATCTCAAAGCCTTTGCCTTCTGTCATCACCATGCAGTTCCCAATTGTTCTAAAAGTTCTAAGCCAGGAGCACAAATATCTCTTTCAGTCCCACCAGCAAATAACACTGATTCGAGTTCAAGGCTGCATCTGAACACATCTGCTTTCTTCCATATGTTATTTTGGAAGGCTATCACAACAAGCTATGCAGGCCTGGGCTTGAAGAACGAACAGTTTTCCCACAAGCCTAGAGGCCAGAAGCCCAAGGTCAAGGTCTTGGTGAGGTTGGTTTCTCATGAGGTTTAATCCTTGTTTTTATTCCTAGTTTCTTTACATTCTTCCCTCATAGTCTGTCTTCTTTGTAAAAATATATAGGTATGTGTGTGTGTGTGTGTGTGTGTGTGTGTGTGTGTGTGAAGACAAGGTTTCTCTGTGTAGCCTTGACAGTCCTGTATTCACTTTGTAGAGCAGGCTGGCCTCAAACTCACAGAGATCCTGCTGCCACTGCCTCCTGAGTGCTGGGATTTGTTTGTTTGTTTGGAGCTGGGGTTCACTCTATGCCAGGCTGGCCTGGAACTCCTCTTATCTCAATCTCTCAAGTGTTAGGATTACAGGTGTGTGCCGCCACACCCAACTATATTAGTTTGTAACATTTAGGGCTGATTAATTAATTTAGGATATTGTGTTCCTTAGGTCTCCAACCAGCTTTTAGGATCTGCAAACCTGTTTTCAAAAGTGTGAGGACCAAAGCTGGTTGGGCATGGTTTAGAACAATGCCTATGGGCTTGTGAATCAGAGCATAGAGGCTCGGGGAATAAAGAAAAAGGGAGGGCTCAGTTGAGGGGTTTCCCCCGGCTAACCACAACTTCTTCCCACAGAGGCCACTTCCGGCCACAGAGCCCTGTCACCTCAGAACTCACCGGGTTAGCCCTTCCTCTTTTGGGTCATACTTGATTTTATCTTACTCTACTTCTTCTTTTTCAGTGCTGGGGACCTGGAACTTCATATACTCTAGGCTATGCTTCCTGATTTAAAAAAAAAAAAAAATTTTAATTACATGTATTTATTGTTTGCAAGCAAACAAGCATGAGGCATGCTGTGGGTGTGGAGGACAAAGGACAACCTGCCGTTATCTACTTCCACTGTTAGGGTTCTGGAGTCAGTCTCGTTAGCACCTTTCACCACAGAGTCATCTTGCTGGCCCATCATTTTCCTGTTTTTTTTTTTTTTTTTTTTTTTTTTCTGTTATTTTGGTTTGGAGACAAGAATCCATGTCTCCCAGGCTGCCTTAATACATAGCTGAAGATGACTCTGAATTCATGGGCCTCCTGCTTTCGCTTCACTGGGTTCTGAGATGCTAAGGAGCAAACCCAGGGCTCTGTGCCTGCTAAGGAGCAGTCTACCAACAGAGCTATGTCTCAGCCTGATGTTTTTCTCTGATCATTCACTGTCTTTACTTCATGATGGCCAGACTGCTGTTAGTTGGCATGAATTAAAGCTGGTCACTTGCTGCTTTGACAGCTCCCACCATCTCTCTGGTCTCTGGACTTTCTTTGGCTCATCAAAGAGTAATCTTTGCAGGGTACCACTTTATGGTGATGCTACCCTGCTCAATCATCTGATGATGGAGTTTCTCAGCTCTGTGGCCCTGGCCTCAGTGAGCAGGTCCCTGGGAAGTTGCCTTCCTGTGTGCCCAGGGTCCTGAGCAGGATGCCAGTTTCAGCTACCCTTCAGGTCCACATTGCTTCCCAGGCCTCCTGTGCTTATGCCTGTATCTTGATTTTTGCTCATGGGAACTTCAGGGTCCAACATTTCCCAGCCTTCACCTATGTCTCTATCTAATGTCCAAATTATAATTCTGAGACCTTCCTCCTGAAGTAGCATCTGGGATTTTTTGAAGAGTGTTTCAAAGTCCCAGAAAATCATTCATATGACACTGGCCATGCCTGCTGTCACATGGCCAGCTGTCTCAACTCTGACAACCTTTCCACTCTCAGTTGACTCAGCTTTTTTTTTTTTTTTTTTTTTTAAATGGCTTCTACAGGCTGTGGCTATTTTCCAGGGATTGTGTAGCCTGAGGCATGTTCCCAGGCCCCACATCTCACCCCACACTACACTGCACAACTAAATACAGGTTCTGGGAGTTCAAAAACTTCAGCAGCAAATGCTTCAGGGTTAACTGGAGGGACTGAGCAGAGAGCTGGAGATGGGCGTGCAGACAATGGCTCACTCGAGTGCCACTGATAAGTCCTGCACAGGGGTCTTTGTGTCACGTGCTCTTGAGAGACCTTCTACCTCACTCCAGATGCTCAGCAAGTTCTCTCCAAGGGATAGCTTCTCTTTTCAAATGACCTATCAGCCCGGACCTGGGATTTATCAAGTGTTTGTTAGGCACCAGGGTGAGAGTATAGGAAGCAGACACAGCAGGCTGCGGTGGTACTAGTCCCCTACAGTCTCAGTGCCCTGGAGGCAGAGGCAGGGGACTATACACATGGGAGGCCAGCTTGGTCTACATAGTGCAATCCAAGCTAGCCAGGGCCAGCTGTGTTGTGAGGCCTTTCCTCAAACAAACAAACAAACCCTCCACATAAAACAAACAAATAGAAAAACATGACAACTACACACAGGCCCTGTTTTGTATAAAAAAAATTTATTTTATGTGCAGTAGTGTCAAGGTGTCAGATCCCTTGGAATTGAGGTTACAGACAGTTGTGAGCTGCCATATGAGTGCTGGGAATTGAACCTGAGTCCTTTGGAAGAGCAGACAGTGCTCTTAACCATTGAGCCATCTCTCCAGCCCCACAGACCCTGTTTTTAAGAGAGATAAATCTTAAACAAATCAGTGCATTAAAATAGCTTAGTCCAAATATGCCAAAAGGTGCTCAGGTCAAGAGCTCTGCAGCTCCTGCAGAGGACCCAGGGTCAGTTCCCAGTTCCCACATGGCAGTTACACTGTCAAGAGCTTACACTTATTGTCAGTACACTGCCAAGACTTACACTGTAAGGGGACCTGACAGCCTCTTCTGGCCTCCTTGGGTAGTAGGCATGCACACAGTGCTCAGAAACAAATTCAGGCAAATGCTTCTACACATAAAAAAAAAAAAAAAAAAAAAAAAAAGATAACTGAATGTTTGGTTTACAGGTTCACTCAGGAGTTTATACCCTCTGGGTCCAGGGAGAGATGTAGCAATATTCCCTTTGCTTACATGATAGTCTAAGTAATAGTAATGTGAAGAAAAGCAATTCTGACCCCAAGGAAGCCAACAGATAACTTAGCTTCTCAGTTCTTTGTATTTTCCTAATTGAGAATAAATGCAGCCTTAAACTTGGTACCATTGTACATCTGAGATAGGTTTTAATTTTTATAAGTTTCAAAACAATTTATGAAGGAATCTTATTATTTCCTCTATTTTATAGAAAAAGCAACTAAGGAAAAAGGCTAAATATTTCAGGATCACAGAATAAATAGTGGCGGAATTAAAAATTCAATAAGTAGACAGTTGTTGGTGGCTGTAATCCCAGCACTTGGGCTGTAGAGGCAGGAGAGTCAAGAGTACAATGTCATACTTGGCTACATATCAGGTTTGAGGCCGGACTGAGCTACACAAGACCTTGTACTGACATATCACAGTGACTAGAGCAATAGCCTAGCATGCATACTGTAAGTACAGGAGTTCTGAAGGAAAAGGCTTGCCCTGCAGAAGTGTTACTCTGCTCTGTTGAGGAAGGCCTTCCCTAGGAAGACTGTAACAGTTCTGCTCCACTCTGCTCTGGTGAAAATGTTACAGCTCCATGAAGTCACAACATACAGCAAACCTCACAGAGACTTATTAGGAAGTCTTATTAGGAGAATTATTAGGAGAATCCAGGAGTGGCTGCCTCTGCTCCTGGGAGAAGTGGCAGCAAATTGAACAATGAGCGTGACTTATACTGGATTTCTTAGGAAGAAGAGCTTTTCAGAGGAGAGATTTCCAGAATGAGAATTGGTGGGGTTTTGTGGGAAGCTCAGGGATTGGTGGATTTTCCAGCTCAAGGATTAGTGGGTTTTTTCCACCACCTTTTCCCTGCATTGGATCCATGGCTTAGGAAGGGAAGGCCTTCCTGGCAGCAGGTGGCTTTGGGTGAGGTACCTGAGGTGGTACCTCAGGAGATGGGGAAAGAAGATGCCACTGCTCTGACAAGTGCTGCCACTCCCTCTGGCCTGCTATCAGGCACCACACACAGAATGCTGGGTGCCAGTATTAGTAACAACCTCCAGGTACCACATAATATATGTATCACCACTATGTATCAATTAGACACTGTGTGGCAGAGTTTTAATGTTACATAATAAGAATTTAAAATTATTTTTTTAAATTTATTTTTACTTTATGTGCATTGGTGTTTTGTCAGGTCCCCTGGAAATGGAGTTTCATAGAGTTGTGGGTGCTGGGAATTTAACACGAGCCAAATGAAAGAGCAACCTCCGGAAGAGTAGTCAGTGCTCGTAGTCACAAAGCCATATCTCTAGTCCATTGGGATGCAGAGTCTAATCCTATTCTTTCTGTGATATCTTTACTGTTTTGTCATATTTAGTTAACTGTGTGCTGTAGGCTGGGCTCAAACGCATGGCAACCATGCCTTAATACTGGATTACAGCTGTGAGCCACCATGCCTGGCTTTTTTCTTATTAGGTATGTGTGTATGTGTGTGTGTGTGTGTGTGTCTGCCTGCCTGCCTGTGTAGATACGATTTCATTATGTAAAAATTATTTACAATTATTTTTAATTGAGAATTTAAGTGGAAAAGATGAAGCAAAAGAATTCTGTTTTATTTTTCAAGGCAGGGCTTTTCTGTGTAGCCCTGGCTATTCTGGAACTTGCTCTGTAGACCAAGGTGACTCAACCTCACAGAATCCACTGCCTCTGCCTCCTGAGTGCTGGGACTGAAGTCATGTGCTATCATGCCAGCAAGACATAAAGCTTTCTGCAATGATAAAAATGTAATTACATGAACTGAAGTTTTAAAACCATATTAATTCACATCAAATGACTGGTGGTGAAGGTGTTTTTTAATGTTTCAATTCTAATCCAGAATTAATTAGCTTCCCAAACAAAAAACACATAGAGCCAGGCCTGGTGGTACATGTTTGTATCCCAACACTCAAGAGGTAGAGACAAGAAGATCAGGAGTGCAAGATCCAGCCTCAGCTACATACTGAGTTCAAGGCTCACCTATCCTGGGCTACACAAGACATTTCCTCAAAAAACTAAAAACAATTTTAAAAAATAGGAAGTCAAGAATGTGGCTGCGCCTTGACAGAACAGACATGAACTTGTAACTTTATGCTTTGTACAGGTTCCATCAGGGATCACTGCATGAGTATGCTGGGCAAATTTAGAAAAAAGGCACATTAGTGTTGCTTTCTTCAGCCTCAAACAGGCTTTTTACAGTTGTCTTTGATTGTTCTGTGAAGACCGCATCTATCCACCCATCAGTGCTGAAACAGGGACACAGAGAACTAAGGGCAGTGCTGACCGAAGGTCTGAGCAACACTAAGACATCTCGCCCACACCATAGCAATGATACAAGACATTCACGTGGCGCTTGATGGGGTCCACAACGAAATATGAGAACGTCTGCTCATGCTCAGTAGCTGACGGGTAGCACACACCGACGGCGTCCTGAAAAGATAAACCTGAAGCATTAGCATTCATCCACGCTTAAGTGACTTTCATGCATATTTCTGCCCAAGCTTCATGAAACATAGACAGCTGTAATGGTGCACAACTTTAATCCCAGCCTTTTGGAGGCTGAGGCAGAAGGACTGAGCTTGAGGCCAGTCTGGAATTCACAGCAAGATGTGCTTCAACAAACAAAGAAAAATCATTAATCATATGTAAACATTTTTGGTAATAAATTGGCAGTAAACCACCAGTAGAATATTAATAGTACAAATCTATCACACCCATGCATTACATCTGCAACTCTTGCTCTTATGGAATGTATAGTCTAATTCTATTCTTTCCCTGATATCTTTGCCGTCTTGTGCTTTAACTGTGCACCCCAGGCTGGCCTCAAACTCATGGCAACCCTGCCTTACTGCTGGATTAGAGCTGTGAGACACCATGCCTAGCTTTTTTCTTATTTCGGTGTGCGTGTGTGTATGTGTGAGTGTAGACAGGATTTCATTATGTAGACCATGATAGCTAGAGTTTGAAAGCCTTCTGCCTCAGTTCCCCCTGAGTGCAGGGGACTATCAGTTTTAGCGAAGTACTTTATGGAGCAATGTGGGAAAGTACCTGCTGTGTGTGTTTATTTTTGTCAACTTGCTCCAAACCTAGAGACTATCTTTGGGAAGAAGAGCTCTTTCTTAAGGAATTACCTCTATCATACTGGTCTACACGGGTGTCTGTGGGGCATCATCTTGTTTAAAATGGATGTAGGAGGACCTTGTCCACTGTGGGTAAGTGCCAACACTGGGCAGGGGGTCTGGACTGTGTAAGAAAGCAGGCTGTGAGGCAAACAGGTCAGGAGAGCTTCCCTCAGCACCTGTTTTGGTTCCTGCCTCATCTTCCCCCAATAGTGGGCTGTGACTGGAGTGTGTAAGGCAAATAAACTGTTTCCTCCACTAAACTGGTTTAGTGTTTCATCACAACAACAGAAAACAAACGAATATAGAAATTGGCATCTGGACAGTGGGGTATTGCTGTGACAGACCCAACCATGTTATTTTGGAAAGGATTGTAGAAAGAGTTTAGAACTTTGGGCTGGAAAGGCCCGTGTTCAAAGTATAATGGGATGTCCTATGGGAACCTGGAAGGAAATACTGAGAACAAAGCAGTAAGCAGCATCCTCCAAAGCATCCTCTGCTTCTCTGTTCCTGAAAGCAGGATCTTAGCCTGACTTCCCCCACGAAGCTGAACCCTATCATGTTTGATTTTCATAAAACACTAAATGCCATCATCTTTTCTCCTGGACATAACAGTGTATAGCGTAAGCCACAAGTATAGCAACTCCATTGGTAATGAGTAATTAACAAGCTCAATACTCACGTAGGCTTTCACTTTAAAGACAGAAGAGGTAATTTGTATTTCCTTGGTTTGAGGATGTTTCCGAACACTATGATGAGAAAAAAGGCACATTTAAAATATGACCAGCCTGGGAGCTGGTGAGATGGGTCAGTGGTGACAGGCACTGACAGAGGACCTGCGTTCATTTCCCAGGACGCACATGGCAGCTTACAAATGTCCTTACCTCCAATTCCAGGGGCTCCAACACCCTCTTCCAGCTCCTTAGGCACCCGGCACACATGTGGTACACATACATACATGCAGACAAAATGCTCATATGCTATTAAACAACAACAAACATGCTTGAAGCATTGGCAGAAGACCTGGGTTGGCCATACTTCCTGTAACTGCAGCTTTAGGGGTTCAACACCCCTTTCTGGCCTCACTGGACTTGAATACACACACACATACAAATAAATCATAAAAAAATAAGATGTCATCAGTTTAGCTGCTCTTTTTTTATATTTGTTTTATTTATTTGATATGTGTGTGTATATATATATGAGTGCGCCTCTGCGTGTACACCTGCATGCCAGAAGAGGGCATCAGATCTCAGTATAGATGGTTGTGAGCCCACCATGTGGTTGCTGGGAATTGAACTCAGGACCTCTGGTAGAGCAGATAGTGCTCTTAACCTCTGAGCCATCTCTCCAGCCCTTAGCCACTCTTTTTAAGAATGGTTGTCACTCTTCAGTTCTTTTTTTTTAATTTTAACACACAAAAATTGTAGAATGGGGGAAATAAACTAAAATGCATTACACATATTCATATTAAATTGTGATGATGAAACCCACTGTTATATATAACTAATACAAAATTTTTCAAATGTAGAGGAAGTTGCAGACTAGACTACAAGGAGTGTCTAATGGGAAAGGGTGTTTCTGCAGCGTTTAAGCTCTAGAGCTATTTTCATCAACTATCTCAGTGAACCCTTCTCCACCGCACACAGCAGTGCGACATTTCACAGGCCGATGTGGCAGAGCAGAGTGGTAGCATGAGCATGAATGGCTGCAGGAGGAGGACATCCGTCACCTGGGTTTACATAAGCTGCAAGTGGGCAGAACACACTGCACTTGAATGTCTGATGAACAGGCATGCTTTTCCTGAAAACACTTCTTTTTATTTTCTTTCTTTTCCACAGTAGCAGTGGAGCAGTCTCTCCTTCTCCCTTTCCATGGGTCCCAGGGACTGAGCTCAGGTCGTGTGGCTATGCAGCAAAAGCCTTTACCTTCCAAGCCAACTTGCTGCCTCTGAGTTTCTCTGACCTTTCTTTTGAGGCGGAGTTTCACTAGGGAGCCCTGGCTGGCCTGGAATCCAGGTTAGCTGAGAGCCTGCAGAGATGCTGTTGCTTCTGCCTCCTCAAGGCTAGAAATATAGGCTTGGCTCCAATTCATAATCTTGAAATTATGTTTTTAAAAGATTTCTTTATATTTTATGTATATAAATTTCTGTATGCATGTAGGTATACCACATGTATGTAGTGCCCAAAGAAGTGCATCAGATGCCTTGAAACTGGAGTTCCAGGTGATTATAAGCTGCTGTGTGGGCTCTGGGGACCAAACTGAAGTCCTCTGGAAGAGCAGCAGACTCTCTGAACCATGTCTCTAGGCTCAAGTTTACAGTTTAATCTTCAGTTGAGCTTCAAACAGTAAGGAAGGGTGGGAAAGTGAGAGGGTGAGAGGAAAGGAGAAAGGGTGGGAGGGAAGGAGGAAGGGTAGGTAGGGGAGTTGGAGGGTGAGCCTAATAGAATACCAAAATTAACTTCATGTCTTTGGCAGTAAATTGGAAGGGCAAAGATTACATCTAAATAAGGATTCTTCTACTTTTTTAGAATAAAGGTTTTCCAACCCCCCCCCCCCCCCCCCCCCCCCCCACACCACTAGTACCTTAGTAAACTCAAACATCCCTTGTGATCTCTTATGTTCCCTTGGAAAAGAAAGAGTGGAGGGAGAGGCATAGAAGATAGTAGTTGCAAACACAGAACTGGATGGGACAGAGTGAGTGATAGGTCTGAATGAGGAAAGGAAAGGAATGAAAAGATTGGGAATGAAGCCTGGGGAGCTGGGTACTGCCAGAATACTAGCACTTGGGCTGCTGGTGCAGGAGGACTGCCTGGACTATGTGAGGAGTTCTGAGGCAGCTTGAGCTGCAGTGTAAGACTGTCTCCTAAGACCAGCCAAACCACACAGGAACTGATAAGAATTGTAAAGCCAATGGTAGAATTTTTGCCTATACACCAAGGTCCCAAGTTCAATACCTGCACTGGGAAGAAAAAAAAAATCATTCCACGAATGAACAAAAAACAAAAGTGAAAACAAAAACAGTCATGAAATCCTCGTGGCCTGAAGAAGAGAGAGGCAAGCTACAAAAGGCTGGAGGAGTCACCACTATGAACATGAGCAAAGCTGGGTAATTCTACCAAGGCTGCTTTTCAGTGAGAACTTTACCTCACCAGATCCTTATAGATCAGCTTTGCAGTCTCCAGATATGGCTTAAGCACATCTTCATACTGACAAAGGGACCCTCCGAGGCAGAGGTGCTTAAAAAGACAGAACAGAAACTCTTCCCTCTCCTGCAGGCTGAAGACTTCATATTTGTCGGAGTCTTCAATGAGCAAAACCTAAGATTGGAAAAATCATCATAATATAATGAATATATAACACTGGTTATGATTTTAAGCTTTTGTAAGTTTTGACATATACTTAAAATTAATATTTTAAAATTAGTATCTTTGTGGAACTGTGGATCACACAAAGAGTCACATTCATGATAGCACCACTCTACCATTAAACTGCACTCCCAGACCAATCTTAGGCCTTTGGGAACAGTCATGGCCACAGTGGTGGAGCATTCTGTAAACCCACTATTGGGAGGTGGAACCAGAAGGATCAGAAGGTCAGTCCTACACTACACACTGAGTACAAGGGCAGTCTGGGATACCTGAGAATGTCTCAAACAATCAGTCTTGGGGTTGGAGAGATGCCTTAGCCTGTTTCTTGTCAAGGACTCAGTTCTGTTCCCAGCACTGCATGGTGGTTTACAACCATCTGTGACTCCAGTACTAGGGGATCCAGACCTTGTCTGGTCTTCACGGTACCAGGTACACATGTGGTACATAATATACATACAGATAAAACATTCATACACATATAATATATCCTAAGTTACTAATATGCTTTTTACTTTTTGTTAATTTCTTGGGCAGGGTCTCATGTATTCCAGGCTGACCCTGAACTTACTTTGTAGATGAGGATGGCCTAAGACCCCTGATCATCCTGTTTCCACTGTCCAATGCTAGGTTAAAAGCATGTGCCACCATGCCTTGTTTATGAAGTGCTGGGAATCAAGCCCAAAACTTTGTGCATACTAGATCAAGTCCTCTCTCAACTGTGCTATTTTTCCAAGCTCCATATTTAGTTTAGTTTTGTTAGTTTTGTTTTTGAGATAGGTCTCTCTGTTTGCCCAGGATAGCCTGTAACTATGTAGGCCAGTCTGGCCTTAAATTCCTTGCCTCCACCTCCTAAGTGCTAGTATTACAGGCATGTGCCACTACAGCCAGCCTTCCATGTATATTCTTACTATTCGTTTGATATTAAGACTCCTACAGAAGACAGTAGCTACTCATTAAATAGGTCAGAGTTTCTCTACCTGTGAATTGTTACACACTGTGCCAGAAAACTGTTGACAGGAACAGCCCTATGAATGTATAGTGTCAGTCAAACCTTTACTATCACGTGTCAGAAACATCTGACTGACAGATACAAATAACAAAGTACATACTCTAAGAAGAAATGGTTACTACTGGATGACCAGCTAGAGGTTTAATCAGCCAGACTTTTTAACAAGGCGTAAGGTTTTGACATTTTGCATTTCCTTCAACAAACTTCCACTGTGAGATTGTAAAGTTCGGTACTTACTTTTCTTAGTTCATCTGAAACGAGAAACGGATCACAGAAAGAATCTAAGCACTTGACAATGTGTCCACTTTCTCGTACAATATTTTCGTCATATAACCGTTGGAAAAATGACATTGAAAGTTGTGTGCATGGAACATTTTTAGCTTCAATTTTTTTCACTTCAGTTCCTGAAAGAAGACATTTTGTAAACAACAAAGACGTAAAAATGAATTTAGTAATTTTTAGTTATTTCTAAACTTTAAAAAAAAAGGGGCATATTGCAAGGCACAGTAGCACATGCCTATAATCCCGGCAGAGGCAGAGGCAGATTGCTATGAGTTCAAGGCCAGCCTGGTCTACAAAGCAAATTCAGGACAGCCAAGGCTACACAGAAAAAGCTTGTCTCGAAAAACCTAAATAAATAAATAAATAAATAAATAAATAAATAAATAAATAAACAGGACATAGTTTTTTTTTTCTCTGTGTGTACATGTGGCATCTGTGTGCCTGCTGCAGGTGCACAGGTGCTGCGGAGGCCAGAGGTATCAGATTCCCTATTGCTGAAGCGACAGTGCTTGTTGAGCCCATGACCTGGATTCAAACTCTACTCCTCTGCTTTTTTTTGCTTTGTTTATCAGTCAAAGTCTTGGTACACAGCCTTGGCTGTCCTAGAACTCACTATGTAGACCAGGCTGGCCTCAAGTTCACTGACAGTTGCCTTTAATGTCCCATTTTTTAGTTATTTCTAACATCAACCATCATGCATAGATTCTTAGAAGTAACCAAATGTGACACATATCTCAATGGGTCAGTGGCTAAAAGCGTTCCACAAAGTTGTGAGTTTGGTCCCTGAACTACGTGGAAACACAAAACTCCCCCCTGCATGCACACAGACACACAGACACACTCCTACTCCTACCAATACATTTTATATTGAGATAAAGTTTAGGGGCTGGAAAGGTGGATTAGTGGTTAAGAGTACTGACTGCTCTTCAAGAGGACCACTGTCCAGATCCCAGCACCTGCCTCAGGCAGCTCACAGCCACCTTAACTCTAGGTCCAAGGAGACTTCAGTAGGCACAGTACCCTAGCTCACAGACATAAAATTAAATTTCTCACTCTTGTGTCTGTCTGTCTCTTTCTCCCTTTTTCCTATCTCTCTTTTTCTTGCTCTCTGTCTCTCTGTTTTTTGAGACAGTGTTTCTCTGTGTGGCTCTCGATGTCCTGGAACTTACTCTGTAGACCTTCAACTCTGAGATCCCCTTGTCTCTGACTCCTCAGTGATAGGATTAAAGGGGTGTGCCACCATGCTCTGGAGAGACAGGGAGGGAGAAATCTCCCAGGAGATCTGTCAACTCTGCCCTCCACAGGCAGCTATACTCACATGCATGCACCAATAGACATGCACATAATTAAAAATAAAACAAATCTTTAAGGTAAAACACACTTATACCCCAAACCAAATCAAAAGCACCAAGGGTTTGTTACCAATTCTGAAAACCTAAATTCAATCTCCTGGACCCACATGGTAAAAGGCCAGAACCAACTCCTGCCAATTATCCTCTCAAATGTGTGTGCACATAAATATACACTCACACCAAGTAAGTGTTAACAACAAAAAGCTGAGCTTCGTGTGGCTCATACCTATAATACCCATCACGTGGGGCAAAGGCAGGAGGACAGATATACATAGCAAGTTCCAACTAGGGCTGCATAGTGAGACCTTGTTTCAGAAAACAAAATAAAACATCAAAACCAAAGCAACAATTTAATTAATGATCATTTGTGAAGTCTTTGAGGATGCCTTGAAAATGTTTTTTCTTCATTACAATCTCCTGTGAGATCTCACTGACAGTGTGAGACACAAAATGCTTTCTAAGCCAAGGTTGAGAGTGGCAGCAGGCCAGTCAGTCTCCACAGGTCTGAAGGGAAGTGTAGGGATAACTGCTTTGTGTGGGGCTCTGCTTCTGTTACAGCCTTAGCCTCTCCTTCTTTGCTTCCCAGCCCCCAGGCTACACTTGGTCCTTGAATGTAACTTTTCAAAAAAGTTTTTTTTCCCCCTAGGGGTGGTGGAGGTGCACACTTTTGATCCCAGCACAAGGGAGGCAGAGGCAGAGGCAGAGGCAGGTGGATCTCTCTGAGGCCAGCCGAGAAACCCTGCCTCAAAAACAAAACAAAGATTTTGTTAGTACAAATTAAGTTAAAGATTAAGACACATATTTTTATTGTCACATCACCACCCCCCCACCCCTTAAGCTACACATGTCGTCTGGTGTAGAGAGATGCTCATTTGTCTTCTGAGCACCCTGTTGTTTTCAGGGATGAAGGCACTGGGGCCTGAGTTCAGGGCCCTGCACACACTTCTGCTAAGGCCCACCTCAGCAGGGCGTGCTACTACAGCGCCCACTACTGCATGGCTGGCCTGAGAAAGCCTGGGCTTAAAAGTAATCCTGGCCATTGTTTGCACTTCTGTTTTGACTATCCACCAGGTCACGCTGGAACCTGTCATTACAAGTTACGATCCTGGTCATGGGGACAAGAAAACTGCCTGAAACCAGGAACTCTGTGTGCTTCAGTGACTTCAAAAGCTGTGCTGCTGAGAGCAGCTCGCCTTGTTTCTGAGGCCCAGTCCTCTTAGATTACAATGAAATAGCTCTGGTGCTTCTGAAAGACAAAGGGCAGGGAGAAGAGCCTGGCAGCCCATAAAACTAGCTGGTGGGACAAGAGACGACATGTGCAGGTGTGTGTGTTGAGACAGCCTTTGTAAACCAGGGAGACCTGAACTGGCAATAACCTGCACCTACCCCCCGAACCCTGCCCATGAAGGGTCTACTGGTGTGCACCCCCATGTTAGCATGCCATTTTAAGAAGTCTGAATTCCTAAATTAAATTCAAATTCTAGTCTAAGGGGTGAAAACAGCATCTGCTATGGACTGATACACATGATCTCAGAGTTCACAGGATGATGGCCTCACCCAGCGTAACTCACGCTGAGCTGTGGCTGCTGGACAGTAACTGAGAACAGATGAAGACATGGGAGGCCACTGGACTTTGGGCAATACAATTTAGGATTATGTCTCTGGGTCCTAAATTCAGTTTCCTCACATGCAAAATACTGTTCATTCCACCTCAAAAGACTTCAACTTTTAACTCATTCAGGCTCAACGTTTCACCTAAATTGGATACAAGTAAGATTGAGGTACAGTTCATTCTAAGGCAGAATTCCTCTCTGTATGTAAACCTGTTACATCAAATATGTGCTTCTAAAGTACACTGGTGGTCCAGGCAGTGGTGGCACCCATAAATCCCAGCACTCAGGTGGCAGAGGCAGGTGGATCTCTGAGTTCCAGGCCAGCCTGGTCTACAGAGTGAGAAGCTCAAAATAAAATAAAACAAAATAAAATAAAAAAAGAAAAGAAATACATTGGTGGGATAGATATGGGGTAGCCATCCCACCCCAAAACCAGAAAAACAATTACTAGGGACTGGGTGATAGTTTCCCAGCAAGCCTAACTGAAAGGAGACGGATTCCTTGCACTCTTGGGCTCAAGTAGTCCATTTTAGTTTTACTTATACTTTCTGGACCTACTGGGCTAATGTTCTCCTGGTTGGAGGCAAGCCCTTCAGGTGGCAGGAGAACGAACTCCTAAGGTTTCTGGGGGTTATCGTCGCCCCTGGCTCTGTGTTGGTGGTCCTGTCTTTGAAGATATGATTAGAGGCAATGTAGTCTGGTAAAATGGCCTCTGATTCACTTCTTTTTAAAACTATTATTTTTAAAATTATGTGGTGTGTGCGCACACGTGTGTGTGCATGCATGCAGGTTCCTTCAGAGGCCAGAGGTGTTGGAGTCCCTGATTCTGAACTGCCTTATAGGGTGCTGGGTACCAAACTCAGGCCCTCTGGAAAAGCAGTACAAGCTTGTAACTGCTGAGCCATCTCTCCAGCCCTGAACCACCTTCTGGGTCTGTTCTTAACAACTAGCTCATGCTGAAAGCTGGAGCTCTAATGTCCAGCCCAGGTGCTAAGAAGTCCAAGAGCTCTCTAGTCAGGCCAGCAGCATCTTCGCTGATACTATCATCTTTCTATTTTTGGCTTCTGCCGAAATGACTGATTAAATCCACAAGTCACACCCTGATCTCTTCATCAGATGGGTTTCTACTGTATTCTTGGCACTCTCTTCAGAACAAGGGTTCTTGTTTTTCACAATCTAGCAAGGCCATAAACCTTCACAATCTTCTTCTCCCAGTCCCTTTGTGTCTATCAGTGCCTCCTCCTGGGGCTGCGACCTAGCTCAGCTGTTAGAGCACTTCCGAGCATGCATGGAGCCCTTGGTTTAAATGCCCAACAATGCAAGAAATGAATGTGGTGGTACAGTCCTGCAATCCCAGCACTCCAGAGCCTGAGGCAGGGAGATTGTTTTGAGTTCAAAGTTAAATCTGGATTGCATACAACGTTTCAAACAGCCTGGGCTACGTACAGAGTAAGACCCTGACTCAGAGAAACACAAAAAGCTGCTTTGCTGGTTGTTTATAAAGACTCCCAATGAAAACTGAAGGGAAGATGCCAATATACCAGAAAATAAGAGGTGAGGAAGCCAGGCTAGGGAAGCGCACTCTTCAAAAATAAGAGTGCTTGGGCCCAAGAGAAGGTAGGACACTTCCTGCTCTTCCAGACCTCAGCACCTAGTCAGGCAGCTCAGTGCTTGTGCCTGTAGCTCCGGGGGATCCAGCACCCTTTCTGGTCTCTGTCGGCACCTGCATGCACGCACACACCCACACAGCACATGTAGGTCTTAAACAACAAAGCCGGTGGAGCGTTTCTAATTTTAAAGTTCTTCTAATTATTACCTGTGGGCACACCTGACGTTTCAGAAGCTCTCTGGGCAACGTTTTGTTCCCAACTTAGAATAAAGCCTGGAGAGATGGCTCAGAGGGGAAAAGGACCCAAGGAGGTCGTCACTGAGTTTGGTCCTAGGGACCTGCAAGGTGAGTGGAGAACCACTTCCCGCAAACTGTTCTCTGACCTACCCACACACCATAAATACATTTAATTTTGAAAATCAACAGCAAGGACTTGGGGAACAGCTTGGTAGAGGAGTTAGAAAGAATGTTAAGAGCTGGGGGTTGAGGCCGAGTGCCATGCCAAGACCGGACTGCCACACTCATTACCCACTGCAGCTGTGGCTACCTGTAGACGACCAAGCTGGCTAAGATTCCACCTGGGACTGGGGAGGAGCTGAGTTAGTGGCAGCTGGCAGTCCCTGGGAGAGGGAGAATCATTCTTCTTTTGAGGTGTGGCCCCTGGTAATTCACCCATGTTGGGGGGAAGCCCCACACCGATGTACACACACACAGCACACTACTGCGCCTGGAGAGCTAGGTGAAAATAAAAATAGACGGTGTGTGTGTGGGGGGGGGGGAGTGTTTTGGAGGAGATACAGAAGAGTTGGAGGGGACAGTGGGAGAGGAGTTATGGTCATATCTTATTGTATACATGTATGAATTCCTCACAGAATAAATTTAAAAAATTAAATCATGAAAAAAATAAATAAACCAAAGAAACTTAGGACCATGTCAGCCCTACTTTATGAAGCCTGTGCTGAGATGGGGAGACTCCACACGTACTTCTGTGAACTCATTTTCTTTTCAAAAGACTAACTGAAGTTACTATGAACATTTAAGAACTCTGTGCTACATGGCTCTGATTATTTGCTCTTGAAAAAATCCAAGTTGGCAAATACATGAGCTTAGAAACTGAGTTTAATTTTGTACCTAGTCTACAGATCAGGCTGTACCAGCTTTCTGCTCTGTGAATTTGGCAGCAGTCCTTGGCCAAAAGCAATAAAATTTGACCTGCTGAGTCTAACAGAAACCTTTTTGTGACTTTGTTCTTGACTAATACTCTAAAAAAGTTACTTTGTGTTAAGGCTTTTTAGAGTTCCATGAAGACACACTTTGGAAGTGTAAAAAAAAAAGGCCTCCTCCTAAACAAAACATTTAATTTCTAAGCAATTTGCATCTTCTTGTGTGCAAACTGGTATGGCTCAGTGGATCAAAGTGCTAGCTAGCTATGGAAGCCTGATGGCCTCATTTTGCAAGAAATGATCCTTGAAAGCTGTACTCTGATCTCCACATCTCCACTTGGCATGCTTGCACACGCATGCATGCATACACACACACATACACACTTGAGCACACTCAAGAGCATGCAGACACAGACACACACACACACACACAACACACACTTTTTAAAAAAGAAATTTCCCAAGTATAAGGTTTAGTGTATTGTTAGTGTCACCTAGAGAAAGAAGTCGTTTCTCTAAGATTTGTTATTATTCTAAAAACTTCCAGGGCAACTTCCAATTCCTGTAAAAATCTGACAAGAGTTACAGCTGTGCTCTGTCCAGGCATTCCCATTAGTGGACACTGTCCTGACCTCTTCCCTCTGGCTTGAACTGACCATTTCCTTCCCCATATTCTCACTTCTATAGAAAAACCTGGAACACACTATTACAGTTTTTCTTTCCCTTACTCTTTCAAGATTGTTAATGACATGAATATGTATATGTCCATGTGGGTGTGTTCAGATGTGTATGCACAGGTACCATGGAGGCTACAGGTCCTGGATGCCCTGGAGCTAGATGGCAGTGGCGTGATGCTGCATGCGGGTACTCAGAAGTGACCTCCAGGCCTCGGAAGGTCTCTTAACTGCTGAACCCTCTCTTTCTCTGCCCCTCTACTAGGATCTCACATTGGCGGGCTGGCCTCACTTTGCCACGTATCAGAGGATAACTTCTGATCCCCCTACTCTGCCTCCCCAGTATTAGAGGTGTGTACCACTACACCTGACTGTACATGATGCTGTAGATTGAAGCCAGGTCCCAACGCACTCCTCACCACACTGAGCTACCCCTCCAGCAAGTCCCCACTTAATGTGCGGATGACTTCCAGAAGAAGTTCATGTTTCTTCTTACTCATCTCAGCGTGACTTGCATTTAGCAGAATATTTAAATATAAAATATATGATGTGCATTTTCTAAAATCTGTTTTGTTTTTTATTTTATTTTTTTGAGACAGGGTTTCTCTGTGTAGCCTTGGCTGTCCTGGACTCACCAGGCTGGCCTTGAACTCACATTGATCCTCCTGCCTCTGCCTCCAGAGTGCTGAAATCACAGGTGTGTGCCACCATGCCCGGCTTGATGTACATTTTCTAAGCTACTGAGAGAAAAGTGCTCTGCTCTTCTATGCCAGGGTGATAGAGAAAGACTCCAAGGCAGAGATGCAGGGCAGACCTGACATAGCTGGCCACACATTATCATGATGTCACAATTTGTACTTCAGTAATATTATCACTAGTGATAACTGCTTGAGGCATTTTTTTTTTTTATTAAAACAGTAACTTGGAAATTAAAACACAAAACTCTTTACCTAATATGGTCCACTGTCCGGAAGAATTTGAGAGTAACTGCAAATTTGGAATAACATTTGGGTCTTTGAAAAAAGCCTAAAATACAAATTGCAAGGGAACATGTTAGAAAGTTTTTATAAATAAAATTAACTTCTAAACAAAATAAAAGAAACATTACTTAATCAAAAGTAAAAAGAAAAGTTCTACTTTACTATAACCCCAGCTTTTTTTTTTTTTGGTTTGTTTTTGTTTTGACAGGGTTTCCTTATGTAGTTCCAGTTAGCTTTGAATTTGCTATCTAGCCCAAAGTTTCCCTCAAAATCTCAATCCTCTGGCCTCAACACCATGTGCTAGGATTACAGGTGTGAGCCACTATGTTCAGCTGAAAGGCCTTTGCTTTTTTCTTTTTTGAGACAGGTCTCTTGTGTCCAGACTAGCCTTGCACACACTGGTAACTCACTATATACACAAGGATAACCTTGAATTCCAGAGGCCTCTACTTCTCTCTTTTAAATGTTGGGTTAAAGCTGTGTACCATCACACTGGTGGGAAGAACTTTAAAGCAAGAAAAAGATTATTGAATTTTTAAAGAAACAAAAGAAATGACATCAAGGAACAGTGAGATGGTTCAGAGGATAAAACGGCAGAAGCCTTATGACCCGAGTCGAGGCCCACGTTCCGTGTAAAGAAAAGAACTGATCCTCAAGTTGCCTTTCGGCTTCCACATGTGCACTGCAGCACAAGCTCACCCACATACATGAACACACACACATAAAATACTAACAAAATTTCTTTAATTAAGAGATGAAGCCAACCAGCTATGGGGGCATGTGCTTGCAATCATCAGCGCATAAGAGGTGGAGGCAGGAGGATCAAGAGAATAGTGCCAGTCTGGTCTCAGAAACTGGGTGTCACTTTTAATCTACTTTAAACAGTAGACCAAATGACTTACAGCAACTGGCCTAGAGCCAATCAAAAAATTCTGAAGAATAGATTTTATAAAAAGACTTATTTTATTTGTGTGTTTGAGTGTTTTGGGCTTGCATGTATGAATGTGCCCCATGTGTGGTGACCAGAAAAAGGCAGTGTAACCTCTGGAACGGGAGTTCCGGGTGGTTGTGAGCCACCATGTGGATCCTCGGCAAAAAACGGCAAGTGCGCTTATTTGAGCAACTCACCAGCCCCTGAAACATTTTATAAAGGTCCCTTATTAAGTCAAAGCCAAGTTTTTTTTTTAATTGAAATTACAACTATATAACTTGTTAAAAAAAAAAAACAGAAAGAACAGAATGGGTCTATGTATGTGTAAAGGGTTTTGTTGTTATAGAACTGACATGAGGCATCAGAAGGGACTCCCTAAAACTTTAGGGAAAATCTCAGGACTCATAGGCTAGTTTGCAGTAAGAAAAGCACTGATGTCAAAATGCATGTAAAGATGACATAAATGTGCTTGGTAACATGAAGAGCTGTGACTACCATTCCCCCTCCATGTAATGCGGGCTGAACCCAGGGCCTGCCCATGCCAGGTGAGTGCGCCACCAACTGAGCTACAAGTCCAGCCCACAGCCCTGTGAGTGCTGTCTGACTGATTGCCCCTAGCACTTTTCTCTTCCTTAAGGAATTTTGAGCTGGTATCCACTCATCCAGATCTGTTAGGGTTGGTGGGATGCAGCCACAGGACTCAGCTTTCCTTCTGAGATGGGGAAAAGGCTTGTCACTGTTTACATGGAAACTGCTCTAAGGTGAGGCTCTCAGCACTGCGGATCTGATCATGCTCTCCTGAGACCCTAATGAAAGACATTACAGCCATCAAGCTAGAAGACGGCCACCTGGGTGCACCTTGTCGCTTAACACGCCTAAACCTAACCTCATCGTCTACTCTCCATCTTGTATGTGTGTAATAGTAACATCAGCTACTCCAGTCAACCTGAAACCTGTGACGCACCCAACATCTTCCTCTCTCCCTACTCTAGCATCTTATCAGTCCTTCAGCCTCTCTCCTAAGTATTACTCTGGCCATTCTTAGGGTTAGTCTAAAATGAGGATCTCACTAAACACCCAAGGAAGGCACCCAAGCTCATTACTAATGCAGAAACCAAACTGTCTGTAACTGTTGTCTAATTTAGTTTCACTGTTTCCAGCTTCCACTTGGAGCCATCAGCCTTTCACACAACTGCCCAAGTGACATCAATATTTTAATTAATTGTTCTTTGAAAATGGGGTTTCATGCTGAGTGTGGTGGTGCACGCCTTTAATCCTAGCAGGCAGATTTCTGAGTTCAAAGCCAGCCTGGTCTACCGGGCAAGTTCCATGACTGCCAGGAATACAGAGAAACCCTGTCACAAAACAAAGATGTGGGAATGTACACATATGTGTGTGCGCGTGCACATAGACACGCGCATACACACACACACACACACACACACACAAACAAAAGAAAAAGAAAAAAGGGTTTCATTATGTAGCCCAGGCTAGTCTTGAGCTTACAGTCTTTGTGCCTCAGTCCCTGGATGTTGGGATTCTAGACTTAAGCTACCATACCTGGTTTTAATGAATTTATTAAAAAGTTATTTTTGAGCCATGTCTGGTGGCTAAGCCCTGCTTAGAGTGCAAATTGCTCTAGCAGAGAACCTGTGTTTGGTTTTTGACACTCAAGTTGGCAGCTCACAATCTCCGCTAACTCCAGCTGCTGAGAGACAGATTCCATCAGTGCTACCTGAATGTATGCCCTCTACACACACACAATTTAAAAATAAAATAATCAAAACCTTTTAAAAAACTGGCTAGAGAAATGGTTCAGTGGTTAAGAACATTGCTGCTCAATCATAAGGACTGGTATTCTGAGCCCAGCACCCGTGTCAAAATAAATAAATAAAAAGAAAAAAATTACAGCTTTTCAGAATTCCGATCTTAAAAAATAGTTGAGGGCCAGTACTGATAAATTATCAAATTCTAACCATGAGTAACTAGGACATGTCATTAATAGTATCATTATACTGCAGTGGCACTGAAACCCTACCGTAGGTAAAGGGAAATGAACTATAAGACCAATTTACCCTGTGCTATAGATTGGAAAATGTAGCTCAAAATTTCTGCCCTTTTTTCAACCTGAGGAAGGTGTGCTCAGAAAAAGGGCCGTGCAGATGTTAACCTTATCCCGGTGTAGGATGGGCCCGAATTCAGCAGGACTGGTATCTTTTTGGGTAGGAGGCAACACTGAAAACAACGGGTGAGTTTTACCATGCACATCAGAAACTCACACCTTTGAATGAACTTTGCCTTCTTCAAAGGATTCCCCTCTAGCTAAAGGCTTTTTCTAAACTGGTCACTGCTCAAAACCTTTGCGAGGAAATCATTTTCAGGGCACTGCTGCTGGAGCCCAAGGTCCACTTCTCAGGGTGAATGTGATTTTCAGAAACTAGAAGTATTGGAGTTTAAGCCTAATAATGTCAGAGATAAAGCCCGGCAATAGAAAACAAAACAAAACAAAACAAAACAAAACAAAAAACACTCCTTAAAATTTTCAGTCAGAAAGGCTAACACATGCTTGTATTCTGGCACTGCGGATGCTGAGGCAGGGTGCCTGGTATGGGTTCAAGGCCGTCATGAATTACACGGTGAGACCGACTAACAGATATTATTTGCAAAGTGGTCGTGGGCAGGCTAGTCTGGTCTTCAGAATGAGATACTGTCTCAAAAATCCCCCTCTAAGAAACAAAACAAAACAAAACAGAAGAAAACCCAGCTTGCGCTTTTTATTACTCCCAAACTCTTAAGAACGCGCGACGGCGTGTTCCCAACATCGGAAGACCCCATACCAACCATGACAAAATCATCCTTCTGGTAGGGCTGGAACTTCTGGTCGAAGCTGAACGCCTGCGCCTGGATTCTGCCCAGCATGGACCTGACAGAGAGGGGAGAGTCAGTGTACCGTGGCCGGAGGTGGGGAGCGGAGCCCGGAGCCGCCTCCCAGCAGGAAGCACCGCGGGGCAGAACCCCGCGCGCGAGCGCGGAGCCACGGCCCGAGCCCGCCAGGGCCCGAGCCCACCGCGGCCCGAGCCCGCCGCCTGGCCGCTCCCGTCCTTGGCCCTCACCACTGGCGGAGCAGGCTGGTGGTCTCCCGGGAGCTCAGGGACTGGAAGGGTCTCTGAGGCATGTATCTGAAGTAGTAGCCGCCACTACGTCCCAGCTCCCCAGCCGCCATCCTGCTTGCAGCCGCGGGAAAGCTGCAGTCGTTACCATAGAGACACAGCTGTACGAGACGCACCACGCTCGGGGGCGGGGCGCCGCTGGGGGCGGGGTGCCGCTCGGGGGCGGGGCCTGGGGCGGTGAAAGGGCCCCTGGGCTCAGCACGCATGCACCGTAGCTCTCTCGGGACCCGCCTTGCCGGGCTGAGAACTCCCAGCCTGGGGGGGAGAAGGGGAGTTGCTGTTCTTTCTGTGTTGAATTACTCGGCGCCGGCCAGTGACCTAGTATCAAAGTCTATAGTCTCACATGGACAGTCCCCTAAGTGTAAAGACGCTTTGCACGAACAAGACGAACAAGACGTCTAAGTTGGTTTGATTTGAAAGACAAAGGGACTGCTTAGAAAAAATATTCTGATTTTCTGTGACGTATGTTTACCTTTTGAAAATCGCCTTCAGGAGCCAACAACTTTTCGTTTTTGTCTAAGAGCTGCGATAGGAATAGGTAGAGGAATTTTTTTTTTTTTTTAATCTCTAACTTCATTTCCTTCACTTACTTGAACCTTAAGAACCAAAAGGTCAGAGAGAGGAGGCAGAGGAAGGGATAGAGGGAGAAAGACTCACTATTTTCACTGTTGCTTCATGCTTTGTTACGCCAGTTTAATCCTCTGAGGTTATTATTACAATCTGAGGCTGTTAGGAATGCAGTTTGTGAACATTCTTCTATAGGCTTTTTTTTTCCCCCAGTCTTTTCCCCATTCATAACTTTGTTTTTTGTTCGTTTGTTTTACTTTTTCTTTTTTCTTTTTTCAATGTGTATGAGTGTGGGCCTGTATGCATGTCTGTTCACCACATGGGAGCCTGGTGCCCTCAAAGGCCAGAAGAGGGCATCGGATCCCCTGGGACTGGAGTTTTAGATAGTTGTCACCTGCTGTGGGTGCTGGGAGCTTCTGGTCCCAGCAAGAAAAGAAAGTGCTCTTAACTGCTGAGCCATGTCTCTAAGCCCCTCATAAATGCTTTTGTAAAGGAAACAGAAAATTTTATTATAAGATATAAGTACAGACTGTCTTAGGGTTTCTATTGCTACAATGAAACACCATGATCAAAGGCAAGTTAGGGAGGAAAGGGTTTCTTGACTTACATTTCCATATCACTATTCATCATTGAAGAAGTCGGGGACACAAACTCAAATAAGGTAGGAACATAGAGGCAGTTGCTGATGCAGTGTCCATGAAGGATGATACTGGCTTGCTCAGCCTGCTTTCTTATAGAACCCAGGACCATCAGCCCAGAGATGGCATCACCCACAATCCACTGGGCCCTTCTCCATTAATCACTAAATAATAAAACGCCCTACATGCTTGCCCACAAGCCAGTCTTATAAAGGCATTTTCTTAATTGAGATTTCCTCCTCTCAGATGAACTTTTTATCAAGTTGACATAAAACTATCCAGCACATTTGACCCTTTGTCAGTTTGACACACAAACATATCACCAGGCTGACCTCAAACTCACAGATACCTATATGCCTCTGACTTGACTCTCAAGTGCTGGGATTAAAAGTGTGCAGCAGTATATTTTTCAGTTAGAATAAAAAACATTATCATATGTTCCTGTGATGTGTGTGTATGTGTATGTGTATGTGTATGCCACAGCATGCAAATAGAGGTCAGAGGACAACTTTGTGCAGTCAGTTCTCTCCTTCCATCTTTGCATGGTTTTAGGGATTAAACTCGGGTGTTCAGGCCTTCACTCTCTGAGCCATCTCCTGGCTCCGACTCTAAAATGTTTCATATTAATTCTGTAGGTAATGCTTTAAGTATAAATTACTTTCTAGGCTTCATAGTCAAATCACTGATTTTAGGGTTCAGCTAAACTGCCTGCCTTTCTGCCTGACGGACTTCAGACGGTTTCTGTTTCCTCATTGTGTGTGCGAGTGCATGATTTCCAGCAGAGGTGGGTTTCTGCAGCATGAGTTGAGCATTGACTTTCTTGCCCATTAGATTTTTTTTTTTTTCATGCAGCTCCAGCCTGTTCTTGATTGAATGGGTTAAGCTTGACTGCTTTCGAGTGCAGGGAGTGTTAGGGAGGAAGAGAGAGGTGGGAATGGAGGGACATGGAGGGGACCGGAGCCCCACAAGGAGACCAATAAAGCCTAAAGGATCTGAGCCCAGGGGGTCCTGCAGAGACTGATGCACCAACGGAGGACCATGCATGGTGAGGACCTAGTCCCCATGCTCAGATGTGGTTGATAGGCAGCTCAGTCTCCATGTGAATCTCCGAGTGACGGGAGCAGGGGCTGCCTCAGTCATGAACTCCGTTGACTGCTCTTTGATCTTTGCTCTTTGATAATGCCCTGATGATGCATTATTGCCAGGCCATGGAGGAAGAGGATCTAGGCAGTCCTGATGAGACTTAACAAGCTATGAGCAGACGGCAACGGTGGAGAACTGCCCCTTTCAGTGGAGTAGGGAAAGGAGAGAGGGGGAAAGAGAGAGGAAGGGTGGGACTGGGGGAGTAGAGGGAGGGGGGTTTCAATCGGGATATATAATGAATAAATTGTGAAGAAAAAACCATAAAAACGAACAAACAAACCTGACTGCTTTCAGTTTCTGGAAGACAAATGTCCTGGGAGGAGCCAGGGCCGCAGGAAGATGTAAACAAGTAGGAACTGGAGCCTGTCTCTTACTTGACAGGATTGCTGGCTGCCTTTCATGTTCCCTTGGAATGCTGTAGAACGGTCAAGTAATTTTCTATAAAAACTAGATTTAATTGCAGAATCCGAGCTTTGAGTTTACATTTGTTTAAACATAGTTTACAAAATGATATAAAGCAAGGTACCCAATCTCCTACTTGTATAAATCTTCAGCTCTTTGGAGGAGGCTGGGTCAGAGAGGTGTAGGTAAGGCAGGATAAAGGACTATACCATTGTCTCAGAAGCAGAATAGGACTAAAGACACAAGTCAGGAGTTCTAGACTTAGGGAAATTGGTCATAGAATTCAGGCTTTAATGGAAGAGAAAGTGACTTTTTTTTTGAGAGAGAGGTGGAAGGGAGATATTGAACATGTGCATGAAAGAAAGTTAGAAGACAACTTTTGGGAATTAGTTCTTTCCTTTAATCATGTGCCTTTACCTGCTGAGCCATCGTGCCAGCCCCCAGTGATTTCCTCTTCCCTTTGAGGCAAGGTCTCATGTCTCCAAGGCTAGCCTTTGACTCAGTTATGTAGCTCAGGATGTCTGAATTTCTGATCCTCCATCTACACCCTAAGTCCTGCGGTTAAAGGAGGGAGTCTGCTTGCTCGGTTTTATGTGGTCCTAGGGATTGATCATTGATAACCACTTTCAAATGAAAATTTAGATTCCTGCAAGGGAGTCTCACTGGGGAAACACTCCTAAGGGCAGGCTGAAAGCCTGGCAGAAGGTGACAGCAGAAAATGAACTCATGGGTATCTCTAGAGGTCCCTTGTCTTATAATGTCAGGGCCTTTCCTTTTTTAGAATTAAAAAAAAATTTTTTTTGAAAAAGATATCTATTTTTTTCTCTCTTTGTAAATATATATATCTTAATCCTACTTTACCTCTCTCTTTTTACCCTACAGGTCTTTTGCATATATATATTATGGCTTCTAGTTTAGTGTTTTATGGGATTCCCGAGTGTGAGAAAAGGTGGGTCTCTTTTTCTGTGCCTTCTCTTGGGCTTTGTTCTTCTGTTCGTTTGTTTAGTCTGATTCTGATGTATTAGTTTTGTATTATATTATTTTATATTATTATCTTATATTCCCGTAGAAGCCTATTTGCTTTCTAAAGAGAGACAGAAAGGGGGTGGTTCCAGTTGGGAGGGGAGGTGGGAAGAAGCTGGAGATGTAGAGTGAGGGGAAATAATGATCAGAATATATTATGTGAGGAAAAAACACATTTTCAATAAAAGGAAAAAAAAAAAAAGAAAACAATACCTTCACTCACTGGCAAAGAGAGGGCGACTGGCCTCACAGTCTTGTTGGTTGCAAATTAAGGGCAAGTAGCTCCCCAGCTTTGAACACCCCCATGAGGGCTGTGGCAGAGCAGGCAGGCTGTTTGTCACCTCATCTGGGAAGCAAAAAACAAGAGACCTGGGTTCAACAACCCGGGCAGGCTTCCCAGGCTCTATGTTCTTCTCTTGAGCCCCACAAAAGCTTCTCAACTACCCAGCAGTGGCAGCCCTGGGACAGAGCCTTCAGCTATGTGGAGGACAGTCATCAAAGCCAGACCAAAAAGGATGAGCTGGTCCACAATGTTCGGTTTAGTGGGTGAGGTTTTTGGTTTGGTTGTTTGGTGGTTGTTTTGTTTTGTTTTGTTTTTGGACAATCTCTCGAGTATCCCAGACTGGCTGTGAATTGAATGTGTTGTTTTGTTTTGTTTTGTTTTTGGACAAGGTCTCACATACCCCAGGCTGGCCATGAATTGACTGTGTAAGCTGAGGATGGCCTTAAAGTCCTGACCCTCCGACCTCCGTCTCCTGAGTACTGGGACTCCAAGCTCGGACCTCCAAGCATTCCACCGGCTAGGCTATATCCCCAGCCCTGGGCACACTGTTGTCAGTTAAAACTAACTTTGTTTAAAGCTCCATCACGTTAACAGTGACAGGTGCCAGGTGCCTATGCATGCACCTCTACCACCGTTCCTCACCCTCGAAAATGCCACACGTTGCTTCCTCATTTGGAAACATGACCACAGCTCCAAGGCTCAGGCGGTGACTGATCCCCAGGCCCCCTGTGCTCATGATGTTTATCTAGCTTCCCAGCTGGGGAGGTTCAGCTGCTTTCAGGCCACAGCTGAGTCTTTTCCATTTGTGCACTGCAATGTCATGCCACTTCAGGGCAGGTTGGGAGAAGCCAACCAGGTAAATCTCTTTGCAGATCCCAGATAACAAATTTTTGAGATTTTTAAATAGTTACATATGTTTTTTTTTTTTTTTTTTTTTTTTTTTTTTTTTTTTTTTTTTTTTTTTGTTTTTTTTTTTTTTTTTTTTTTTTTTTTTTTTTT